GCGTGTTTGCCAGCTGTGTTGTCGTTCCTGTAAAGTTGTGCATGACCTTATGTAAGTGACGTTGAGTTTCCGTGCGTGTTTGTGTTGGATCGATGAGAGCGCGAAACAGGCGCCACGTGTTGCGACCAGACATCTGGCGTGCAGCCGTGTTGCACCTGTCCACCCAGTTAGTGTCGGCTAGCTGAGCAGCATATTCCGCAGCTTGCTCCGTGAGTTCTAGGATGCGTTTCTTGAGGCGTCTGTTATGTTTCTGTTTTTTCCATCGTTTGGTGAGGCTGCGGCGGGCCTGCCAAAGATGGAGGAGGTGGTTGTCTACGTCCGTTTGAGTTTCCGTGAGCTGTATCAGCTGTTCGTGTTGTTTCAGTGTAGACGTCAGTGATTTAGACCAGGTGTCGTATCCCGACTGGAGAGGGTCTACAATAGGTAGAGTGGTGCGGAAAGTTGTCCAGTCTGGGATACGAGCTTGTGTAAGTGGGCGTTTTAAGGGACGCATGTACACAGTTGTGTTTAATACACAATGATCACTACCGAGAGTGTCCTGTGTGTTCAGCCAGTCGGCATGGCGTATGTTGCGTGTAATTGTGAGGTCCGGGCAAGTATCTCGTTGAACAGAGTTGCCTACACGTGTTGGGCTGGCGGGATCAGTGTGGAGGGTGAGTCCAAGTGTAGAAAGAAGTTCCGCAAGCTTCCTTCCACGCGTGTCCTCTCGTGGGTAACCCCATAACCTGCTTGGGGCATTGAAGTCGCCGACGATCAGGAGGGGGTCTCGTCCTGCCACCTGCATAGCTTGTGTGAAAGTTTCGCTGAACGTGACGTTCTTAAGCTTTGGGGGACAGTAAATGTTTAAAATATGAACAGGTGGGTCAGATCGCCTTATAGGCAGCACCGACACCATTGTGTATGGGAAAGGCGGTGTTGTGGGGAGTGTGACTTCCTGGGCGGTATATTGCTTGTGAACAAGTATACATGTCTCCGGGTTGTGTTGAAATGTAGTGTAATTTGTGAGTTTGACGTCCGAGCCGGGTTCCTGAAGGGCAACCACGGCAACAAGGAACTCAAAGGTCTCAAGATAGAGGCGGAAATGAGCCCGCTTCTTGTGGTTCTTGAGACCTCTGCAGTTCCACTGTGTTAGTAACAACGGCTGAGTTGCTCTGGCTCGCGACCTAGGGTTGGAGGCCATGGTCGGAGATAGAGGGTGGGGTTGTGTTGTTAAGATTACTCAGTTCACCAGCACCCTGTGCTGACGTACTGGAGTCTTCAGGAAAGTCCGACTCATCTGGAGTCACTCTGTTAAATTTTGAGGGGCGATTAACGTCCCTAATTGGCCCTACGCGCTTGAGGACGCGTGGATTGTCTTGTATCCACTTTTGGATAATGTGAGTTACTGTTTGTGTCACCTGTGCGATGACAGTCTCCATATGACGCGCGATGGTGTCGTGGATAATTTTGGGGAGGTCGGCCAATTGTGTTTCTATGGCATTCACCTGGGTCTCCAGGGCCGCGACGCGACTCTCTACAGTAGTAGGAATCTCCCTGTCTGTTATATTTTCCTCTTCGTCGCTCAACGAGGGTTTAGTAGTGAGATTGGTTTTGAGCGAGTCAAGTTCGCTGGCTAGTTTTTCATTCTGAGATCGCAAAAGGGCGAGCTCATGCCTGAGTTTTTGTGTTTCGGTAGTGCTTGTGGCAGAAGAAGGTGGAGAGGAGAGAGAGGAGGGAGAGGAGGCGACCTCCACCCAACTGCCCACCTTGGGTTGGTTGCGTGCAGCGTTGCCAGATGGAGCGCCGAGAGCTGGAGATTCCGCCGCGCCAGGTGGTAGCGTTGCCGTTGCTGCTTTGCCAGGAATTGGCACTTTGCCAGTTGACCGGTGCTTTGGTTTTGTTGGGGTCCCCCCGATGTCCTGGACCCTGGTTGCTGAGCGCACTACAAGGCGCGAGTATAAGATGCTTCCGCATCTAAAAGACAAGTGAAGGATTTGTGGACGTGCCTTGTAGTGAGAGGAGCGAAACACCTAGTGCCCGTCAATTGCTGTGCTAAGCCTTTGCGCGAGCAGCCGCACCCTCACCGGCGCCTCGATTACCGCTCATTACCGCGCCCCATGGCGAAATTGGAGCGTATGCTGTCGCCCGCGAACTCGGCTCGGCGCTTTTTTCTCTTTTCCCCCTCGAACCCCTAGCGACAACGAAGGACCCGTCGTCGTATGCTCATACGCGTACTTCTGTATGGCGTGTTCGTGCGTCCGTGTATCTTTTAATTTAAGTTCGTTCACGGGCCTGTTCGGTGCGTGGGTGTCGTGGATGGCGGAGGATAACCCGCGCGGGCGTTGCGTGCGCGCTGCTTGGGTTGCGTTGATTTCTTTGTATTGTCGCTTACTTCGTCTGCTCTCGATGTCGCACCCCACTCGCTGTCATTAGGGGGGGGGGGGGGGGGGTACGGTTGACGGTGAATCTGATGCGCCTCGAGCGGAGAACCCAGCCATTCAAGGGCACATCGATGAAAAGTGCTGCTGGCTACGTTACACTGGCAGGTTAAGGGATACGTTGGCTCCTCAGTATTTTGTATCACACTATAGCAATAAGCTAGATATTATAAATTCCCTTAGAGAAACAAGAACATTGTCTTTCTGTGTTTAGACTTTCATCCATCAGCTTTGAAATACAATATGCATAATAGCGACCAGCTCGCCCGAGCATACATGTTACAGTTCTGGATCTAGGGTGTTTTATACGTAGGGCTCTATGCTCCTGAATAAGTCTGAAAAAAAAAAAATCCAATGAAGACTCAGCCGATAATCCCTTTCACAATTCCGATTTATTTGATAAGGTCTGACATTGAACGGGTGTTTTCAACATTCAAAGGGCATTTTCAAAGCTGCAAATGTCAATTTAAAGGGGCATATCTCAGTCAGCGGTAGCATTTTCCAGTTAGACGGCAAGCTGGGCCGTTTGGCTGGGATTTATCGATAACATGGTTTACGGCGCAACACCAGAAACACACCCACAAGGAAGGAGCGCCGTATTTTCTTTCTCTTTTTCTCCTTCCTTGTGTCTGTGTTTCTGGTGTAGCATTTTTGTAAAGTATGCTTGCGTCTTTACAACAAGCTTTAGGTTGTACAACAAACAAGTGTACTTGTCTTGAATTCAAGTATTTTGTGCTTGTCTGTACATCTATTGGTTTGTTTAATGCTTCGAGATTTCTAAAATACCCCGCCAATGCTGCACGTTAACTTGCAATATATGTTACGTTTCTTGACCACAATGTTCACCGCCAGTTTCCTTCAGCCCTGCTGAGTTAAGGGGAAGCCCTCTTTCTTTCAATGGCAACCATGTACTGTGTAGCTTTTAAATGTGCAGCACACATTGGCAAGCCAGAGTTGACTGTAACTAGAGCACTTACACTGGCTAGTGTCATGAATTTTATCTCAGGAGCATTTGCGAAGGATGGAATTGAGAGAGACGGGAGACTGGGCGTGCCAAACAAGCACACTTTATGACCCAAAAGATGAAAGGCAAAAGATTGAAAGGGAAAACAAACACTTGAAAATACTACACAAAATTACTCTAGTAACAGCTTGTCGTTGGCCCTAAAATTTTCGCTTATCTGTCGTTACTTTTCACTTCTAGTGATGGCCTGCCTGTTAGAGTAGCTCTGTGGTGGCATGCTATTTTCCATAAACTGGCTTTGTCAAACATACATTGATCCAAACAAAGATGGCTGAGCTCTGGCCATATAGAGGCAGAGAAATTGATTTTGAAGTTTTTGAATGAGAAACAGGATAGCATTGACTGTGCCAGCTATAGACATGCATGATGGCTTGTTTATGTGTACACGTGACTGATTGTTTTTGAGCATTCCTATATTAAAAATGTTTCAACGAGCTAAGCTTTGTTGCAATGGTACACGCTCTTACATAGGGCTAAGCAAATCTGTACTAATGCTTATTAATTTCACATGATAATGTTAAGAGCTTGTTTCGCAGAAATTCCAGTGTTGGTGTTGACATCATTGGTTGTGAGTGACAGATCACCACTTTGTGCATGACCAAAACATTGAGTGAGAGAAAGTAAAATAAATAACAGAAATTTTTGGTTCAAAGGGAGGACCAAACTCGGCTCATCTGGAGGTCAAGCAGGTGTTCTACAACAGAGCCACGCTATTGCTTGAAACTGTTCTGTGGAAAAAAAAAAGACTATACAGCAGAAGGAGTCGTCTTAACGTTTGTGTTATTGCGTGGTGTAAGTGTAAAATCGTGCCAGTTGTCAAAGCTTGTGAATTATGTAACGAGTAGATATTTTAAAGGCCCACCAATTACACAGCCCTCAGAAATGTATTCATCATCAGCGCCAAAAGCAGCAATAAAGGGAGCAGCTGCTTAGGTTGATGTCCTGAGTTACAGATGCATAGTGGGTTTTTCCTTAATTTGCAGAAAAGAATTATGGCATAGTGGGCACTTTACAACTGTACTTGCTGTAAGCATTCTAGAATAGTTTAATTCTAGAATAGAAAGCTAGGCACACAATCATTTGTTTCTTTGCAGCATGACTGACGCATGTACCGAAAACCGAAGCAGGCTAGCAGTTTCAAAAAATGATGCGCACGAGGCCTGATCAGGCTAGTGTGACCTATTGACGGCATTCTTTCATTAAGGACCGCATGAACGTGCCTTAACATGATGTTCCATCATAATTCCTTCATGTTTAAGTAAGGATTGGGCAGAAAAGCTTACTTCCATACATTGTACCCTTTCAGTGGTCATGAATAGAAAAAAAATGCAGTTGAAAGAATTGATTGAGAAGCGATATGGTAACCCTCTCCATAGGTGCACTAATGACTTGCTGGTTCTGGTATTCACATTTAAAAGTAACTGAAGGGGATACTTTTGTTCTGCTGATTTATGGCGCGAGTAATACCTTTTTTGCTTGCATGGTTTTTTTGAGACAGATGGAGTTCTGTACTTTCCCAGTAGCGTTCCTCCCTGAGTCCTCCTTTGCTTGTTGTGCAGGAAAAAGATCGAGACGCTGGGCAAGATGACGGTCATGTCGCAGGAGGACATAGTGAGCAACACCAAGACGGTCATCCAGGGGCTGGAGGCCCTGCGTAATGAGCACAACACGATCCTGACGGGTCTACGCAGCTCGGTGCAGGCAGTGCAGCAGTCCCAGCAGGACAACAAGGCCAGCCTGGTGGCCGAGGAGAAAGCCCAGCTCGTGCAGAAGAGCCTTGAGGCACTCGAGCTGGGGCTTGGTGAGGCGCAGGTCATGGTTGCCCTAGCATCACATCTCCAGGTCAGTGCTCTAAGTGGTCAGTCCTTTGTTGCATACTCTGTCTAGGTGGGGACCCTTTTTGGACAACTTCTCTCATATTTAATAGTGCCTATCAGAGAGGAACCGTCAAAAGATCCTGTGTAGATAGACTATAAGTAAGCGCCAATATCAATCATCGATGTGCTTGGCATATATAGCCCTATGTGTACATATCAAATGTAAATTTCTCACATTCACTTAGACCAAACCAACATGTTCACGTGTGCAATTTCGATGTGCTCTGGTTATGATTCTGTTTATTTTCATTAACCATGCAGGTAGTTAAGTGGCCTTTTTCTGTACTAAACTGTGCTCCTATATCATGTCTATTATATAGTACTACCCTTCACAACTTGCTTTTTTTTGTTAGTGAACAATTAGTGGACAAACTACACTCTGTGGTGATCCTAGGTTGCCGTGCACGGAACCTAATGGCGCTAGGTGTTAGTGCAGTTTGTATGAAAGCAAATATATTTTTCTATATCAGGTCAGTGAAAAGCTTGTAAAGTGTTCTGACATTGGGGCGGGGGGATGGGGGGGTGAAAAAGCAACTGTGGGGCAAATTTTTTTGCTTGTGACTTTTTTGCTGTAATTTGTAGCTGTGAGCTTGGTAATGTCGAAATGGAATTGTAAATGTGCAAATGCATCGTGTAATAAATTTGAGCATCTCTAATTGTGACCAACTTTAGCATCACTTCAAAACACCCTCCAAAAGTTGTGAGAAACTAGCACCTCAACCAGAGGAATGTCTAAGACCACACGCACTAAAGTTTTTGCAGCTCTGACAGCACAGTTTTCAAAATGGGGCCTCAGGTGTGCCAAACAGTGAAGCGATGTGGATGCTTCGGTATTACTCAGCCTGTGCGGAGCATGTCCCTTTGGGAGAAAGAAAAGCATCCTTGGCATAAGCAACCAAAAGCACCTCGAGACGAGTCCGACAACTGGGCGAGAGGTGTGAGGAACGACAGCCCTCGTCGTGTGCCAGCCGTGGTATGTTGTGTGTGCCCCACCTATTTTCAGGAAGGGTAACAGTACCCGATTTTCTTGTGGAACGTCACATGCGGTCTACGTCGTGCCAGTGGCAATGTTGTGAAGTGCTGTTAACTGAGATGAGCAAGTACTCATACTTCCTTCAGAGCCAGATTAGAATGATTTAAAGGCAATGTTTACCTTTAATAATCAGCCAGAAGGGTCCACTTACATAGGACAATCCAACACAACCATCGGAGGTTTTAGTTTTGGTGTCTGGGCATTTTAAGTAAAGCCATTTATTAGGCGTAACAATCTGCTATGCTGTTGTGTGGATGCATGCAGGCGGTGGAAGCGGAGAAGCAGAAGCTGCGTGCCCAGGTGCGCCGCCTGTGCCAAGAGAATGCGTGGCTGCGTGACGAGCTGGCCAACACGCAGCAGAAGCTGCAGGCCTCGGAGCAGGCGGTGGCCCAGCTCGAGGAGGACAACAAGCAGCTGCAGTTTGTCAACTCGCTCAAGAAGTACGATGACCTGTCCGCCTCCACCACCTCTGTGGCCTCCTCCTCGGCCGCCCAGGGTGATGACTCGCAAAAGTCTCAGGGTGAGTCGGTCATTCGTATCAACGCTGCCTCCGTTTTTATCAACAACAACGCATATGCTCTCCCCTCAATGGGAGCCGTTATTCCGCCTTACTTAGTTTGGGGAGTTGCCATGGTATTGAATCATCCAGAAGGTACCACTGCTTGCATCATACATGTGTTAGAGTGTGCGACGATACTGTTTCTGACAGGATGTGGTGGACGTACCATTCCTATTATATATCACACGTCTGTCAGTTCTGTTTCTTCATACACCTTTCTTGAAGTAGCGCCATGATCGGCACGCAGTGCTTGTGCGACACATTTTAATGCGAGTGCTCGCGATTGTGTCACATCATTTTAGCAAGTTACGGAAATACGGTACACAAATAGCATAAGTCAGTACTGTAACATTCCTCCTTTCTCCGTTTCAGTTGTGCTTCTGCTGCTCCACTTAAAGAAAAGTGTGTGGTTAATGAGGCAAAGGCTAACAGGCAATTGTGAGGTGTGACAATCCCACAGTAATTTTTGAAAAAGCTTTCATGGTGTTGCAGTGTGTTTGCCTCCAAAAGGTCAACAACCAGGAAAGCAGGGATGGTACGGTCTTATGGTAGTATATTATGGAGTTTGCCGGAACTGCGCTGGTTCTCGTGGGAAGAAGCCCTCCCAAACTAGGACCAGAGTCCTTTAATACCGTTCTGGTCATGAAACTTCTCCGTCACTCTATGGGAGAGCTTCGTATGCTGCCAAGAGCGACCGCTACGCGGCGCAAGCTGGGATAGGGGGGCCACCGCTCCGTTGCGCCCGGCCATTGCCCGGTGGAACGCATTGGCAGCGGCGGCAGCTCGAAGGCGCTGTGTAAAGGCAGCTCGCGGTATTCCTTCGAACAAAGTTTCTGCATCAGCGTCACGAGAACTTCAAGGGCCAGTTCTCCGCGTTCAAGGTCGACGGCATGAAAATCCGAAGGAGCAATGCCTAAGACGTGCTGTGTGATGGGTTGCAGCAGCACCGGATACAGAAGGAACAAGGAAAATGCATTGCTCTTCTGTTTCCCCAGTAGCACCGAACTTCGGGAGAAATGTAGATTACATTTTTTCACGCGCGAAAAAAAAAAAAAAAAAACAAAGCCTCGCGGGCAACCGTGCGTGGTTCATGCCAAGCAAGTGGGGGGGGGGGGGGGGCGGAAGCCGTAGTGTTAAGCATAATGGTTGTGTATGTTCTCGGGCTGCAGCGTGCGTTGCTTCGTTTCCCGCCATCCCTTGATGCCCCAGGATCCAGGTGACGTAGGACAGAAAAAAGAAAACTTGACTGGTTCCCACCCCCCTCCCCTTACAAGGCACTGAGAGTGTAACATTACTGAATACAGTCATAATAGTTTCTAGTGCTTCTCTTCTCCAAGGTGTTGTTCTCTGTGTATTTTGTGTAAACAAAACATGCTTTCAAACTTGCTCCTCATTAAATGCACCTGATTGGAAGCTTCCATTCATAGTTACACACGTAAATACTAAGCAGCGTATCATTAGTACCAAATTTCCGATTTATGGCTTGCTTTAAATCGTAACCCTCCCCCCCCCCCTCCCCCAAGCATAAAAAAGTATGGTATGGTACCTAGGTAGCGTGGCAAAGGTCGCCGAGCAGCTAGCACTGGCATCGAAAGGAACTTCCAGATTAGGCTGCTGTACTTCCTTTCCCGAAGAAATCGTGGGTTGTCGGCCCTAATTAATGCTGCTCTAAGCAGTAAACATAAGGAAACGTCAAGAGACGGGTGTCTCGACTAAATTGCGTGTAAAAAAGGGATCACTCAGATGTTAGGCACGTGAAACTCGTGCTATTTCAAGAGGCACCCTTAATACCGAAGCGAGCAGTCGCAAAAGCGCTGAGCTATAACCAAGACATCGAAAGTACCCGCGTCAAGAAAGCGATCGGCACTCACAAACGTGTGCCCAGAACAACTGCGCATTTGGGTGCAGACTCAATTGAAAGGTCTAGAATGTAACATCTAGCTCGATCATTCCTTTCATTCGATTACTTGGATAGCAGTGCGCGAGAGACGAGCCGTATATAAATCAATACGATTGCCCCTGTCTTACCTAGTCGTGTTTTATTCCGTTCACCTTCCTCCCCGTATTTGCGGCACTGCCAGAATAGAAAGCTTTACTACCGCATAAACAGAATCGCCCTTTGGCCAGGCGCGAGCACGTTGTCGAGCAGATCCAGCAGTAGCTGCTCGCATCGGGAGCAATGAGCATCGTCTTTAAACACTGGCGAGCAACGACGTACTGCTTCGAGGCATCGTAAGTGCGCATATCATTGGGCTGTTAGTTAATTCTTGAGACAATGGGTTATTGCGCGATGTTAAAACACTTTAAACGCGCCGCTATTTATAAGGTTGGTTCACCACTCGTCAGGCAAACTACGCGTGCGTTCTTAAGTAAACAGCTTTCATTCGTCGTCGACACTGAATCACGTTTATACTGATCTAGTGGCATTGCTGCGTTCAGTGACGTTTAATAAAAGGTAACAGGAAGAACAGCACGCACATAATAACAGTGGAAACGTCGGCAATAGTGCGCATTTAATCCCAGCACTGGCGGCGGCTTGTGGCCCCCTTACGACTGGTGGCGCCGCTAACGGGAGATTTTCTCCCTATATCAACCTTTGGGCGGAGTTTCGTGACCAGAAAGCATTGAAGGACTCTGCTAGGACTATGCCTGTGGCATAGCAGCAGCACCCCCCCCCCTCCCCGCCAGACAATGCATCCGGAGTTTTGAGTGGCTCGGAAGGAGGGATGCTGGTTGACCGTTGAGAATTGTAAATGTTCTGCTCTCTCCGCCCTTGGTGACTTTCACAGCCCCACAGAGCATCACTGAAACGACGGAGTCAAGCACTAAGCCAAATCACTTTGGCCAAAGCAAGCGCACTCCAAATGCTGATCAAATCGCCAGACCAGCAGAAAACAAAATATTTCCTCGAGATAGAGCTGAGCTAGTAAAAATGGCATCACAAGCAACGTATCTCAGGAGAAATACACAATGTGGACACACCTTTAGCTTAGTGTAAGTGCATGACACTGCGAAACCAAACAGAATTTTTTTCCCGCGAGCGATTCTCGATTGTGACCCAGGCAGATTTGGGACGATTGAAGCTGCTGAGGATAGCTCAATTTGGTGCCGAAACTACAATTTAGTGTACCAAGCACTTCTGAATCACGCACATTGGCGTCGCTTGCAAGCGTCAGACTGTTAAACATAACAAAGTTAGTCGTCCGACAAGCTCTCACTTCAATGCGCGCAGCCAATGATCTTCACAACAAGAGAAAACACGCTTGAAAAAAAAAAATTAAGATTGAAAATTAAACTTGCGAGCGTTGTACAAAACGAAGTTAAAAGTCAACCTACACTGATGCTCATACTAACACGTAATACGAAACACAGTATTTTACACAGTGGCTTTTACTCAGCCTTTTCTTAGAATTAAACTTTCGAAATAATATGAAAACAAAATTATTCAAACAAGCATATAAATGTTTGCTTCTCCAATGACAACGAAAGTAAAACTTACAAAATTTAGACGCATTCCTTGCTCATCGGCGGGCGACAAAATTAGAAAAATTATTCTCAAACTAAACACAAAATACACTCTTGGTATTGGCAAGGCGGCACTCTGACAAACTCTGGGGAGTCGCGCACTCCACAGCTTTTGTGGGTTGCGGTCTGGACAACGGGACGACGAACCAACCTGTCCGCCGAACTCAGTAGCAACGACTTTTGACCCACAGCCGCTGAACTCGAAGAAAGGGCCATACGCACTACAGCGTTTACCCCTCCCGGTGAACCAGTGACCTTTTTGCCGCGGTGGGGAACAACAGTCTGAGTTACGGCTCAAGCATTCGCGACATTTCCCCACTTGCTTGCATCTACGCAGCAGTTAAAAAGGTGAGACCAGGCGATTAATCTGGCGTTCAAATTTTTTTGAAATGCTGTTTTCTCGACGCGCTTCCCGTCTAATCTTGAACTTGGTGACAGTCTGAGCTTTAAACATTTCATATAGGGCTTTTTCACGATCCTACACTTAGCTGTGAACCTAGTTTCTTAAATGAAGACGTCACGGCACTTAACAGCAGATTTAGTGCGCTTGGCACCTGCCGTCTTTACCGTGTTACGCTTACGCTGACGTCTCTTTTTGTCGGGACTTTTTGCAATACTAGCAGTCTCGACACACTTACTCACAAGTGTGCTGCTTCTGACAAGTACTGCCAAAACTCTAGACTGGTTAGCTAGCTTTTCCTCGGGCTCGTTGCTAGCCATTTCTGCCTGTGGCAGAACGGGATTCCTGATGTTTTTAAAACCAACAAACGCGCCTAGAGAGCTTTCGATCGGTGCGAGTCTATCACTGTCGGGGATAGCCCTTGTTCTCTTTCCTTCGTAGTCGGCCTCGTGCTCTCTTTCACGAGCTTTATTCTGTAGCGCTTTATGTCACGCATCTTGCTCAAGCTTTTGTCGACAGGCGTCAACCTCCAGCGCTTTGTGACATGACTCGTCGTCAAGCTCTTTTTTGACGCGATTCATTCTGATCATGCGCTCAGCGAAGAGGTTCCGTCTCTAGCGCTTTATGACGCACCTCGGTGTTCTTAGCTATGCGATGGGCCTCGGCCCCTAGCTTCTCGCGATGCACTTCAGCGTCTGGCTCTGTCCTACGCATTTAGGCGTCTTGTATATTCTGACAGGCCTCAATATCAGGCACCCCACGACTCTCCTCGGCGTCCCGCTTTCTCTGGCACACTTTAGCGTCTTTTGCTTCGCGACGGGCCTCAGCCTCCATAGCTTTTCGGCATGCCTTATCTTTTCACGCTTCTCAATGCGCTTCTACTTCTAGTGCTCTTCGGTGAGCCCCATTTTCACGCGCTTTTACCTCCATCGCCTTACGCCGCGCCTCATCTCACTCTCTCTGATGCATCTCGGCGTCCTGCGCTTTGTGATGGGCCTCAATTTCTAGTGCTTTGCTGTGCGCTTTAGTTCTGTTC